ACAGTGTTTCGTTCTGTTGTACATAGGGTCACTATGAGTTGGAACCAACTTGATGGCACCTAACGACAACAACGTATACACAGCAGGAGTCCCTGGATAGTGCAAATGGTTAAGCACTGGACTACTAAACAAAAGGCACCCTGGAAGAAAGGCCTGTCAATCTGCTTCCGGGAGAGCACAGCCTTGAAAACCTTATGGAGCAGTTCTCTGCACACATGGGGTTGACATGAGTCAGAATTGACTCCACATCAACTAAGAACAACAACAACACACACAAAACATCCATTTGTTCCTCTGGTGTGTGTGTCACAAGGAATTTACTTCCTACATTAGGCTACAATTTGTAATCTCATATTTTCTTAGCAGAAGCCTGGGTACGCAAGCAGTTTGTGACCAGCTGCTAACAGAAAGGTTGGCAGGTTGAACCCACTCCACAGCTCCGCAGAAGAAAGGCCTGCTATCTGCTTCAAAGATTACAACCAAGAAAACCCTACGGAGATCAATTTTATTCTGTAACACATAGAGTCGCCACGAGTCAGGGGCCAACTCAACAGCAGTTAACAACATTTACTTGGTGTCTTTACTTTTAAGGTAGAGACTGAGATGTTAAATTTCCTGAAAGATTTTCTAACTTTCCAGTTTATTGGAAAATCAGTGAGGAAAGCGGAGAGTGCTGTGGAACAGACTTAAACTACAAAGTATCATTGGCTATGCCCTGTAGAGCTTACATATGAATCAATACAAGGAGCTGTAATATTTCAGGTTTTTTAGAAGGAGAGGCAGCATGATGCACTGGAGAAAAAACGAGGGGACCTAGAGTCCAAACTCAAGTTCTGTCTAGGGCAACCACCAGCTCCATGGCCAAACGTAATAGATAAGTCAGTTAACTTGGTTCCCCATCTATAAAATGAGGGGGTGGGAAAATTACAGCTTCCTTCCACAACCACCACCACAGTTGCCCGTTGAATCAACTTTTGGTGACCCCCTATGTGTCAGGGTAGAACTGTGCTCCATGGGGTTTTCAATGGCATACTTTTCAGAAGTAGATCACCAGGCTTTTCTTCCAAACACCCCTGGGTGAACTTGAACCACTAACCTTTGGGTTAACAGCCAAATGCACTGACTGACTGCACCACCCAAGGACTCAATTTCTATGATTTTAGTCTAGTTGCCCTTCATGCAAAGAAAATACCTAGTAACCTTTTGAATTACAGCAATAAAATAAGTTCTTGAATGATCATTAGATCTTCTCCTTTAGTAGTCAAGTCTAAGTGGTTTAACCTTTCTTCACCATCTTTCAAAGGGTTTAATTAGTATTAGAGGATGAGCCAAGATATTGTCCCCATGGAATTACTCTCTTGCTCGATAGGCATTTCAACACTGCTCCAAGTGGGTTACTCAAACCTACATTTAGCCTTGCAAGAGTTTCATTATTTAGCAATATATAGATTTTTTTAAGTCTAGAGGGAAAGAGACGAACAAGTTCTTCAGCAAATCTCGATTGAAACACACTGGGGACCGTCTACAGTGCTTCTAAAAATAATCTTTTTCCGAGGGGCCAGAGATAGGAAGGCAAGTTCAAGTTACTTCATATTATTTAACTGAGCCAGGCTTCTGTGAACAGAGGTCAGCTCCTGAACCCTCCACCTTTAATGTTCAATATTTTCTCTGACCCCTGACCTAGTTTATTCTGCCTGGAACAAAGAAAATATAACTCAATTTTGTATTTTGGTTAAGCCTCTTTCAAAAGTATATGGGTATCAACAATGCATCTAATTGACAAAAGATTAATTCCTAGTACATAAAGACTTACAAAAATTAATAAGAAAAAGCCAAAGAACCCAATTTAAAAAATGGGCTAAAAATATGGGAAGCAACTCATAAAGAAATAAGCCTCCATGGCTATGCATTTGAAAAGATGTTTAGCCTCACTATAATCAGAAAAATGTAAACTAAAACCACAATGGTAATCCATCAGATTGTGAAAAGATTTAAAATCTGATATCAACTATTGGTGAGGATATGGAACAATGGGAATGTAATTAGTACAACCACATTAGAAAACAATTTGGCAATTTCTAGTAATTCAAAGATATCCACGGCCTACCCATTGCCATCAAGTTGATTCCAACTCATAACGACCCCACAGGACAGAATAGAACCTCCCCATAGGATTTCCAAAGCTGTAAATCTTTCTGGAGCCAGACTGCCACATCTTTCTCTCGCAGAACAGCTGGTGGGTTCGAACCACCAACCTTGCAGTTAACAGTTAAGTGCTTAACCACTGTGCCACCAGAGCTCCTCTATCCATGGCCTGTTGTTGTTGTTATTAGGTGCCACCTAGTCAGTTCCGACTCATAGCGACCCTATGTACAACAGAACGAAACACTGCCTGGTCCTGCACCATCCTCATAATCATTGTTATGCTCGAGCCCACTGCTGCAGCCACTGTGTCTATCCATCTCATTGGGGCTCTTCCTCTTTTTCGCTGACCATCTACTTTACCAAGCATGATGCCCTTCTCCAGGAACTGATCCCTCCTGATAGCATGTCCAAAGTATGTGAGACGTAGTCTCACATCCTTGTTTCTAAGGAGCATTATGGTTGTACTTCTTTCAAGACAAATGTTTGTTCATGACCTATGACCCAGTAATTCCACTCCTAAGTGATTTTCAGTAATTTTAAATGCATCAAAAATTGTAACAATTTTACACTTCACCCAGATTCACTAATTACCAATGTTTTGCCACATTTGCTTTATTACTGTCTCTGTTGTTGTTGTTGTGTGCTGAGGAGTCAATTCCAACTCATAGCAACCCTATAGGGCACGGTTGAACTGTCCCATAGTTTTCCTAGCCTGTAATCTTTACAGGAGAAGATCGCCAGGTCCTTTCTCCTGTGAAGCCGTGGTGGATTTGAACCACCAACCTTTCAGTAAGCAGCCCAGCACTTTACCGTTGAGCCACCAGGGCTCTTGTTCTATCTCTGTATGTAAGAAAAGATATTTTTTTCTGCACCACGTGAGAATAAGTTGCAGACATCATGCCTCTGACCCCTAAGTATTTCAGCATACATTTTAGGACGTGAAAATCACTTATCTAATCGTAGCGTAATTATCGAAGTTAGAAAGTTTAACATTATTGCAATCCCAGTATCTAATCTACAGACTTTATTCAAACTTTGTCAATTTACAGCTTTTTTTCTATTCCAAGATCCAATCCAGGATCACACATTACATTTACGGGTCAAGTCTCTTTAGTCTCCTTTAGTATGGAAAGTTCTTCAGTCTTTGTCTTTCAAGATATTGATGTTTTTTAAGAGTAACCCCCCACCCCCCAAAAAAACAAATTCATTGCCATGGGGTTGATTCCAACTCATGATGACCCCATGTGTGACAGAGTTGAACTGCTTCATAGGGTTTTGTCGGCTGTAACCTTTTTTCTTCCCCCATACAAAAATTTATACGTACATTGTTATGTGACCCTAATTGCTCTCCCTATACTGTGACAGCACGCTCCTTTCCACCCTGATTCCGCATGTCCATTCAACCAGCTCCTGACCCTCTCTGCCTTCCCATCTCACCTCCAGACAGAAGCTGCCCGTTTAGTCTCTTGTATCTACTTGAGCTAAGAGGCACACTCCTCACAAGTATCACTTTATGTCCCACAGTCCAGTCCAATCCCTGTCTGAAGAGTTGGCCTCAGAAATTGTTTTAGTTCTGGGCTGATAGAGAATCCAGGGGCCATGCTTTCTGGGGTCCCTCCAGTCTCAATCAGACCATTAAGTCTGGTCTTTTTACTAGAATTTGAGTTCTGCACTCCACCTTTCTCCTGCTCCATTCGGGACTCTCTGTTGTGTTCCCTGTCAGGGCGGTCACTGGTGGTAGCCGGGCACCGTCTACTTCTTCTGGTCTCAGGCTGATGAAGTCTCTGGTTTATGTGGCCCTTTCTGTCGCTTGGGCTAATACTTTCCTTGTGTCTTTGGTGTTCTTCATTCTCCTTTACTCCAGGTGGTTGGGACCAATTGATGCATCTTAGATGGCCGCTTGCAAGCTTTTAAGACCCCAGAGCCACTCACTGAAGTAGGATGCAGAACAGT